ATTACTGGTACTGAAACGGCTACAACTACTACTAAAAAACAATTCACTAACACTGGTGGTGGTTGTCTGTGTTGTGCTGCCTCTGTCTGTCGTAGAGCAAGGAGGCTGGCATCCGCACTCTGGTCGCGCTCGATGACCAGGGAGGTGAGTGGAATCGCTTTTTAGCAAATAAGTCAAAATAAACACAAAACTTACAACCAACTGCGTTACACTATCTTACACACACACACACACACACACACACACAAGCATATACTTAATACCTTTATTTATTTCTATTTCTATCTATCTCTCTCTTTTTCTCTTTCTCTCTTTCTCTATCTCTCTCTATCTCTCTCTCTCTCTCTCTCTCTCTATCTCTATCTACTTTGGTTTTTCTTATAAAAGTAATAGTTGAAACGTTAAACGAGAAGGAAAAAAAGAGAAGAAAATTCTTTCACGAGAGAGAAAAACATCTTGAAATAAAAATAATTTCAACTATTAATCACTTTCTCGTTTTCTCTGTTTTTCCTTCGCGATATTTACTTCTTTCACGAGAGTTGTGAACCGCAACCTAAAGTCCCTTTTCTATTCCTGTTTATGGAATAAATCCTTATGGAAAATGACGACCCAAGTTAAGAGCATGGAGACAACGAATACGCAGAATTTCTTTGGTCTCGCGCTAGTTTGTTGATATCATTGTTACGCGTTTTCTATTATACAATTTCAATTGTAAAATTATTATTATTGTTTTTAATGTCGTCATCTTTTGTATCATTGATAATATGCAAGAAAAATAAGTAAAGGAGTTGTACCCTTTTATTGTTGATATTCCGCACGGACGATTGCTTCACGTTAATTGTTATATTTATCTTCTTGGTTTTATTTTTGTCTTCTGGTGTTTTTTTTTCTTTTTTCTTTTTTCTTTTTTCTTTTTTCTTTTTTAATAATATAACAAAGTTACATTTTTAAACGAGTCGCACGTAATCTAAATAGATCCTTACGGTAGGAAAGATTTAGCTTTATTTTGATATTATAAAAGTATGTACAGTCCCGAAACGCGGTGGTGCTGAGATAAAGGAACTAGCACTACACAGATTTGATCGTTATACCTTAATATATAGAGTAGGTATTTATTAATTTTTATTATTGTTGCAAGTAGTCGAGATTAGATTTGTTCTTATTTATCGATATTACCCCTTTATTTTTTTCTTGTTCTGATTTACGTTCCTTTTCCATTGAACCACCTCTTGGGCCTCTTTTGTATTTAATAAAATCTACCTATTTTTAACATCGCCTTAGTCACTAACTTGTATAAACCACTGTTACTAACGTTAAATACCAATCATTACACTCTACGACACTGCCAGAATATAATCATCATGATTAATCAGTACTAATAATGACTTACTCTAAACCGATTGACGACACCAACTAAAGATAAGCATTCGGTGGTCTCTCTCAGTATTTACTAGCATCCGCTGCTGCTATCGCTGCTGCTGCTGCTATTGCCAGTAATTGGTATCTCTATATATATATAATTGAAAATAAAAAAAACATTAGCCTTTTTACATACTAACAAACCCCTGACCTATCTCTCTGTCTTGCTTTCTTTCTTTCTCTCTCTCTCTCTCTCTCTCTCTCTCTCTCTCTCTCTCTCTATCTATCTCTCCCTCTGTTTATCCTTTATTGATCGAGAGAAAAAATGAACTCGTTGCTCGTTACCCTTTTTTATTTTTTATTTATTGTTCTTTTTCTGTAAGATAAAAAAATATAGTCAATGTAAAAAGAGCAAGGATCAACCTCGTTGAAGTAATGTCTTTGAAATTTTTCTCGCGCTTCTTTCTTTAGTAATTTATTCCCGCACAATATTCAGATAATGAATAATGATAATAGATAATGAATATATATATATATAGTGTAATCGTGTATGTGTATGCATATATTTTGCAGGCGCATACGTATGTATTATTAAATCTCCCTTATCTTTATTACTTTTCACAAATACTACTATACACGTTCTTCTTTGGATTGTGTACTTATATATATATATATATATATATATATATATATATATATACTCTCTGTAGCCTCACACGAAAGCTTTTAGCTGTGTCGCTTTGAGTCAACGTGTAATACCTACGTACATCTTTTTATGTATATGTATACGTATAATACATATATGTATATATATGTATACATATATTACGTTTATTTAGTGTAAAACCCCCGAAACCGTATTTACATACTTCGTACACGTCTCTTAGAGGTAGATGTCTGTCTCTGTCGTATATAATATTTATTATTATACATACATATATATATATATATATATATATACTGTCAATTTTTTAAACAATTAATACAACATTTTTCTACACAGAAATATATTTGAAGATCTTGAAGCTTTCAAATTGATAACAAAATTGATCTCACAAGAGTATTTGCATCTAATTAAAATATAGTACCATGAATTTTTGTTTCTATCATTTATGTATGTCAAATTATATATTTCTTATCAATTGAAAAGTAGGATAATCCTAAAATATGTTGTTGTGTATACAAATTTGAACATATTGATTGTTTTTAATTGACAACAGGGTTACAAATACTCCTGTGGAACTTGTATATATATATATATATGTATGTATATATTTCTTGAGTTTTTTTTGATCCTTGGTTGAACCTCTGCATCTCTCAAACGTACTATTATTGTCAATCGCTATTTTACCACGTAGGTATTAGTTCAAGTTCGTGTTTTGCATTATAAAAAAAAAAAGAAAGTTGCATTAGCAATTAGAAGAATTGATTGCAGTCGCGATTAGATAGATCGTCGGGATAGATGCGTCCTTAATCGCATATCTGAATAATTAATAAACGCGACACCTATCGATTTTTTTCATACTTTTTTCCACAAACGTTCGGGTTCTGTACATCTTATTTATTATATTTTTCTAATACTCCATACTCGCATTAATCATCTTCATCATCGACATACTATCGTCTATTATTTATAATGAATCTTTTCATTTATTTATTTCGATTTATAATATACATTATTATTTTGTCGAAAAAAATGGTCTGATATCGACGACATATTAAGCAACATTTTTCTTTTACATTTGAAAATCTTAATATCAACATTTCCTAATTATTTCAAATGACCATCTTCTTCGAAATCTATTTTTTTTTTTTTTTTACGTATAATTAATATTATTTGATTTAGCAAAATCGTTATGTTTCTTTTGCAGCAACGTGGTACGTCTTGTCTTAAGGGATTTTCTTCATTAATTAAATTATTATTAATGATTATTCGATGATTATAGTTTACAATTGTTTTGTTTTTTTAAATAGTTGTTGTTTTTGAATGTACAACTAACCATCGACAGGACGTGCACGCGGTGTTTTCTTGTTTTGTATAATTTTGCAGTTATTCACGCGAATCACTCAAAGATCTTTCATTTCCGTTAACGTGTGGGCCCTTTCGACCCCATCATAGAGCGAGGATGTCGCAGCGAACACACTGATGATGTTAGACCACCAAGGCGGTAAGCAGTAATCTCCAAGTATTCAAACTTCATTATAAATCGAACCAAATGAACCAAAAATATGAGCAAAAAACGCAAACAAGGGATAAGAGGATCGAAGACTTGGAATTTATTAATTCCTCTATAGAGGATTTTTAGAAAAAAAAACAAAACAAAAAAAGAACAAAAAGTGGACGAGAGGTGGAAGCCATCCGTCTCTTTCTTTTTCCTTTCTCTTTGTTTTTATTTCTCTCTCTATTTTATATACTTTTTTTTCTTTTTCTTCTTCTTCTTCTTCTTCTTCTTATTGCATCAGAAGGGCGGATCGATTTTTCGAGTTATTCAAGTGAGCTTAAAAACCCTAGTATGAATGGAATACAATAATATATATATATAAATATAATGAATCTTTTCCCCATGAATTCTCCCACCATATTTTCCAAATTATTATTCCTCATTACTCCCGCTAATAATTACAGCTCAGTCTTACTATCGACGGGGAAGCCCTGAATTTATTAACAAGCTCTACGTTTGTTAATAAAAAAGAAACAAGTAAATCATCGCCCACTATTTCTATTCATTCTTTCTATCTATATGAAGGCTCTGCAATTCATTACAAGTGATTTTCATTAGATACTTGGCTGTCGAACAAGATCGTTCTTCGTTTCTTTTTCCCTTGTAAGCAAAAACTTGACATTCAAGAGGAAAACTCAACGATTGATCCTTACAAATCTAAAAAGGAACGTGCTCAATTGGATAACATTCGTGTGAAAATAACATAGCGCGTGGTTAGTCAATTCGATGGCCATGTATCCATTTCTGAGGATCAATGGATTTACCTTTAATCTTTTGGTAAATCCTAGATCATATCACTTTTCTTATATCTTTCTTTTTCTCTCTCTCTCTCTCTCTCTCTCTCTCTTTCTCTTTCTCTCTATTTTTCTGTCTATCTATCTTTCTTTCTTTCTTTCCATCTATCTCACATTATTTCTTGGACACCCTCAAACTCGTTATCCTTGATTACGTATTTAAATGATACTGTGCTGATCAAAACATTCGTCGTATGCGCCCTCTCGCTCGTTCGCCGATTATGTGCGCGCGTATCTCTCTCTCTCTCTCATATCTTACTTCTCTGTTTCGCTCTCTCTCTCTCTCTCTTTCTCTTTCTCTTTCTCACTGTCATAATCTTACCCTGGATATGTCGGCTCTTTCGTGTTTCATTATTGTCAACATTGGTAAATCATGCTAATCATGGAATATTGTAGAAAAAAATAAAAAAAAGATGAATCGAAAAGAAGGGCAAAAAATGAATTTCATGATCATAGAACAAAAGGCTATTATTATGTTGTATTATATTCTATCCTAGTCCTGTTCCTTATTGTTGTCCCTTGTTGTATTTGGATATTTTGGGAGCGCGAACCGAAGCGAGGGAGCGTCGACGGTTAATTTGTCTTGAATGTTAACACGCCGCTGATTGATCGGTTGCCTGTTTAGAGCCACGAGGTCGGGATGAAAACACTCGTTATGCTGGACGAGCAAGGCGGTAAGCCATTTCAATGTAGACGTAATCTTATAATTCCTTTCAAACACACGCCTCAGTGACCAAAAGTACAGCGAGTCGCAGGAATATTCCAAATACAAATTGTAAATAATTTCTATTCTCTTCTAATGCGATATTTCTTTCATTCTTCTGCACAGACGACTAAGTAATCATCTAGGATTATTCAACTTTCTAATTACAATCAAATACACTATTGTATACAACATTTATATCGATATGCAAAGTTGAATAATCCTCAAATATATTTTTAAGTAGAAACATTTGGAAACGTTGCATTAGAAGTAAATATTAATTGTTTTAAATTGACATTAACAGTGGCTACGAATACTTTTGTGACTCAATGTATATGTAAATGTACGCAACTCAACAGTATCTAATCAGTTAGTTTAATTAATAGATACTGGTAATGATAATATGACGATGATAATTATCAAAAATGATGAAAATCAACAAACAACAAACGAACAAATGAATAAATAAATAAATAAATAAATAAATTACCGACATACGTATGCGCACACCCTCGGACACGACGTACATTCGATGATTATGCCGCGAGTCAACTATTTCATTACAACAACTATTTAATTATAGATATGCATCGAAAGATTCATTCAAAATAATAATAATAATAATAATAATAATGTCGTAAATGTTCATCGATATGTAATCCGTTTCCCAAAACATTCTTTAATCTCACCTGGTCGCATTCACTACAACGACACTGCCATTGAAATACATTGCCGAGTATCTTTAATTTCTCTCTCTTTCTCTTTCTCTCTCTTTCTCTCTCTCTCTCTCTCTCTCTCTCTCTCTCTGTCTTTCTCTCTCTCTCTNTCTCTCTCTCTCTCTCTCTCTCTCTCTCTGTCTTTCTCTCTCTCTCTCTCTCTTACTGTCTTTTTCTATTTTTGTTCTCTCTTCCTACCTTTTGTCTCTTTCTCTACTTTCCTACGATCGAAAATCCATCTTTTGAAGTGAATACTTACTTACGTTATTTGCTACGAGATGTTTTATTTGTTTTTTTTGTTTTTTTTTTTTTTTCTATATTACCCTGTTATCCATTAGCTCCTACTACCTTGCCTTTTCCCAATTTTTGTGCTTTAATTTAGTTGTTCCTCGCGGTGGACACCCAATTGGACACCCAATTGGACACCCAGTTGGACACCCAATTCTAGTTCATGTAAAATCTAACGAAACGAAAGAAACAACTTACTCGTGAAAAAGTTACACTATTTTACGCGACAGAAAACTATTCTAAAAGTCTATCTATTAAAAGAGTTCTATTGAAAAGTCTAAATTTTCAATCGTACACAATCCGTGAAATTCTGCGTGTACAAACTCTGACCAAACTCTCAATTCCAATGCCTCTAAATCCATTTGACATATCTCCCACTTATATGTGTCGATAATTATGACAGTGAACTAAGTAAACGATATTGCAAAAATTCATTTTACTTGGGCTACTATCATCATTAGCAGCACATATGTTTATATGATATATACATCACAAAATCAATTACTCGAACCATAGGAAACATATATATTAGTATATTTATATATATGTGTGTAGCTTATAAGACTTTGTTGAATAGGCAAGAAATACAAAATCACATAAGTCAAAGTATCGTAGTGTTTTTTTTATTAATCGATAACGGTCACGTCTTTTCCTATTGCTATATTATTGTTTGTTAATGAAATACCTGCCTGCCATGGAGTTGAATTAGTAGAAGAATCGAAAGAAAAATTTGCAAACATTTGCAAAGATTTAGTAACGAGACCGTTCTCGTGAAATAAAAAACAAAATCGTCTCGTTGGAATAAGAAAGGAGGCCCTTTTTCCTCGTCGAGATTGTTTTAATTACTTTTTCCTATATAATCCCCTAATAATTATCTGACGATGAATGAATACTGCCTCGTTTCTACAAATTCCATAAGACTTGCTTTATATAGAAATATAATTGAGAAGGAGGGAAGAAAAAGTAGTCTTCTCTCGTTTGAAAAAGGAGCGACAACAATATGTTCCAAAATGTTCCAAAATAGTATCCCTCCTTTTTCAAAATTGGTATTGCTGACTGCTGACATTTTGATGTTTGCAAACGCTATAACGGTATCTATATTTTGTACGACGAAACAGAGCAATTGGATCGAATCGAGGAGGGCATGGACCAAATCAATGCGGACATGCGAGAGGCCGAGAAGAATCTTACTGGGATGGAAAAATGCTGTGGGCTCTGTGTTCTTCCCTGTAACAAGTACGACTGTTGCATTATGGTTTCTCTTTTTTTTTTTTTTTCTATTATTATTAGGGTTTATACGAAAAGCACTAACATTATCGTTTTGTTGATTATTTCTTGTTGATGATTATTACCAACGATAGGAGTGCAAGTTTCAAGGAAGACGAGGGAACGTGGAAGGGCAACGACGACGGTAAGGTCGTTAATAATCAGCCACAACGCGTGATGGACGAACGCAATGGATTAGGCCCTCAGGGTGGGTACATAGCTAAGATCACCAACGACGCGCGAGAAAATGAAATGGAAGACAACATGGGTCAGGTATCAACGATGATCGGCAATCTCAGAAATATGGCAATCGATATGGGCAGCGAGCTCGAGAATCAAAATCGACAAATCGACAGGATCAACCGGAAGGTAAGAAAGACAATAGCTTCCTTTTTCTTCCAATCTATTTTATCTATTTGATCTATTTTATTCTCATATCATTCTCTCTCGAAGATTTCGATTTGCGCGCTACTTTTTCTACGCGATCAACTAATATATTTTTCTTTGAGTGCGATTTTTTCTATCTCTCACCACGATGCACGCGTTAATCAAAAAGATGCACACATTCTTCGCAGCTTTCACCTTTTCAAACTTTCCTTTCCGATCGTCGTCGTCGTCGTCATCGTCGTCTTTATTCCGATTATTATTTATTGCTATGTCGTAAAATGTCTTACGTGTACGGCACAAATTATCTTTGTCCTTTTTGTTTTTTATTTTTAAATAAAGTATCTTAACAATTGCAAGATATTCGCTCGATCGCCCTGTTCGATTGATTTCTAATTTCATTAACGATCAAACAAGTCAATTTTCTAAAGAGTCCAATTTGAAAAACATACGTTTGGTGTTTGTGCGTGATTTCTCTTGTTCTCTAAATAACTAATTGATCAATATTATTTCTTGGCCGTTTATCTATGAAATTATTTGAAGACAAATATTCCATAGGACAATTATCGACATATGCTTGAGCACTAGCATCGCACAAATGATTTTATTTTTGATCAAATTTCAACTGCTTACGCGCACTTGATAATACAATAAGAATATATTATTAATCAAGATAGAATGAGATTTCATCAAACGTTAGAAACGCTTTGCATATTAATTTTCAATAAATTCAACTTACTTTACGTAGTTGTTTTAATTTTCATCGCTTACTTATTTTCCAAAATTGAAATATCCAAGCACCCTATACAACTCACAAATGTACATTTTTATTCAAGTGCGCATGACACGCGACGCATCAAAAAAAAAAAAACATTTCATTTTCTCAAATGGATATATTTTACGTGATTTGATTTTTATATATTTTATTTTAAAAAAAAAAAAAAAAAAAAAAAAAACATTTCAAAAAAGTCATACGCCTTTCTATAATGAAAATGAAAACTGCTAATCCGCAGGGCGATTCGAACGAAACGAGGATAGCATCGGCGAATCAACGGGCGCACGCCTTACTCAAGTAAAAAAAAAAACTTTCAGTGTGTGCTACTCAACAACCCGGGTATATTTCAATATATTTCAACCTGTTACAAATAATTGAAAACACGCATATCGCATATATATAGAAATGGAATAAAATATACATATATATATATATATATATGTCTTACCGTCAATGTATACACACACAAGGGGGTATGGATAGAAACCACCACAGAAGGTATTTTGGTCAATCTATACAAATTTAAGGGGAGAAACGTTTACGTTAAACGAAGCACATTTTCAAAATCATCCGAAATTTGTTAAGAACATTGTGAAACTATTGTTTCACGTGTTACACGTCACTTTGGTGGCCTCCACATACTCGTATATAATGGTTTAGCAAGTAGTCTTGAAGCCACACACCCCCTGCATATATATCCGTCTTCTCCAAACCTCTACTAGCTGCTACTCCTAAAATATGTAAAAAAAAAAAAAAAGGAAGTAACGAATGAGAGCCACATCCGTGCAATGCGACGGAATCTCCTCTCCCCCTTTTTGTATTATTTCGTTATTGGTCGAATAGATCTCGTCCAATCAATTTGTCAACATTTTATCCGCTATATAATAATATTAATCTTCTTCTGCTTCTATTTTTGATTCTTCGATCCAATGCGATACAAGATTAAACGTAACAAAATATATATTTACTCGTTGAAAGTTTTTCCAGTTTTATTCTTCACGATTTCTCTCGTAGATGTACATAGAAAACAATAAAATAGTGTGTTAGTCCTTTGAACTTGAAATGTGTCAAATGTTTCCTTGACAAAAATAGAAGAAGAAGAAGAAGAAGAAGAAGTGTACTTTATAAGAAGTGTATTTTTCAATTAATTACTATTAGCAATATGTGAAAATAAAAGATAATTAAATAATGTAAAAAATGTAAAGAGAGAAAGAGAGAGAGAGAGAGAGAAAGAAAAAATCGCACGATTATGAGAGGATTCGTTTAGTGGATCCTTGGTGAAAAGAAGATGGACGCGCATTATAATGGACGATTTTGGTGCGCCCATTTGTAAAAGATAGGAATATTTTTGACACGCAGGGCGACTCAAACCAGGCAAGGATACAGGTGGCCAACGAGCGAGCCCATCAACTGCTCAAGTAAAGACACCAATCACGACCATCTCTCTCTGCACCCCCGTTTTGGCCACCGTCATCACCTACTAGTACTATTACTATTACAACAACAACAACAACAACAACAACAACAACAAAATACAATACCCAGCACCAAGACAAGTACCATCAGCACAACTATTACTTACAATTGACAACACTATATACGTTCTTCTTTTTTCCTTATTTCCTTACAGTATTACTATTAATATTATTATCCGCTGTAAGATACCACGTCGAAAGGATAAACGGAATGAAAATGAGAAGCAATATATTATCTGCGATAATTGTTTTCTTTTATCTTTAAACAAGATTTACCCGCATTTCTTTTATGTGCTATTTTTTAAACTCGATTTTTGCGATTGTAGTTTATTTGAAAAACAAAGAAAAAAGAGGTAAATAAAATCCGTTCGATGAATCATTTTCTTTTTTTTTTTTTGATCGATATTAATAATAAGACGCGTGAGAAGCATATCGCTTGATTAAACTGTCATTTTCCGTACTTAAGGAAACCTTCCTTCCTTCCTTCCTTCCTTCCTTCCTTCCTTCCTTCTTTCCTTCCTTAGTCAAGGATGCGTCTTAGAAACTATAGCAATGCTCTCTTACGGTGTCTAACATCGTATCCCCGTCCATCCAATAAAAAAATATATATTTATTTATTTATTGTTTACTCGCGTTCTCACACTTTACACAATGTACATACGCAACTCGCACACAGATAATCACACGTTATACACGTACACACGTCTTAGGTTCATCCTACCTTTTACCGAACCGAACGTCGCTTCAAAAAATGGAATAAAAAATGAAAAAAGAGAGAGAGAGAGAAAGAAAGGAATAATGTT